TAAGGGGGGGGTTGTCTTTTCTCTTCCCCAACCCGTCGCTCCCGCTTCTTTGAGAGCGGAGACGGGCGCGGATCAGGGCGTGTCCGCGAACTCTTGGGTCCGCCTTGTGACTCTCCGCCTGCCTCGCGGGACGGGCTCCCTTTCCTGAAGGCCGCCCGCTCCCCCCCCCACTTGGTTTTCGCCTCTTTTGGGACTGAGGCGGGTAACCCGGGGCGGGCGCGGGTCTCGTTCCCCGCCCCCCTTCCTCGCGCGGGTGGTGGTTCCCCCCCCTCCCCATGCAGGCGCTTCCCACGTGCTTCTTCGGAGCGCCGTCCGCGGGCGAAGGTGGGCCTCGGAAAGTTTCTGCCTTTCGGGCGAAGACGTTTTGGGCTCCCATTCATTGCGTCCGCCGCTCGTTGGCACCCAGGGCGGCAGTGCCGGAGGTTCGTGCCTCTTGAGAGAGAGTTGAGAAGGGCTTTTCTTTTTTTTTTTTAAAAAAAGGAATGCTGGGCATCGAACCCTGCAGAGGTTAAAAAGGTGTTCTTAAAAGGTTTCGCAGAAGCTTCGCTGCTGAAAGTTCCTGAGCCCATTTTCCCCATTGATTTCCCTGGGCGTTGAGAGGCTCGGGCGGTTCCTTCCAGATTTCTGTGAGGGAAGCCTGCAGACAACTGCAGGGCGTCAAGGGAGCCTTCGTTTGTTATGGGCTGGATCTTTGCCCTCCTCCACCAGCTCGTGCGTTTCCCCTCCTGGTTAACATGCTCTCCTCGGAAGTGGAGGCAGCAGGGGCTTCCTTGTCTTCTTGCCTCCTTTTCTGATGTTAAAAAAAAAGAGTGAGTGAGGTTAGCACGGTGGCTTTTCTGCAATGGGTTCAAGGGATCACATGTCTCAATCGATGCAGATAGATCAGTTTTTTAAAAAGTGGTAGCTCCAGAGGAACAACTATGTATTTGGTGGGGGGGGAACAGGACTCCAGGCTGGTTATTTCCCTTCGCGTTGTGTGGTCAATGGGGAAAAATGCAAATCAGATCATCCCAAACCCCTAGTTTTTCCAATGTAGTCAGTTTGAAATTATTTGGTTACTGATCCTGGCCTATGGCTGTGAGTCTGTGGGCTTGGTCACACAGCCAATTTACACTGATTTCAGTCCCAAGGTTTCTAAAACTGCTGTAAAGTCACGTATATAACTTGGTAGGTGCATTATTTTGACTTAAACAACTTTGATAAATTTATGATAATTAAAACCGGTTTGGGAAGCTAGACTGGAACCAGTTTCCATTCAATTAGCAGAGCATACTCTTGTTTGATTTTTGTTTGTTTGTTTAATGATGGAAAAATGGGAATGGGAGGGGCGGCTTCCAGCAGGTTCAGCAGAAAGGGAGCCAATGCTGGAATTGCAGTCCCTGCATGGCTGTCCTGGATGCTGTTTATCTGGGAGGGGAATGGCTCACAGGTCATGTTTTCATCCCCACTGCCATCACTTCCAGCAAGGGGAAATCTCTTAGTACTGAACAGGTGACTATTGTACTTCCTAGAGCTGCCTCCTGCTTCCCCACTGTTCAGCAGAACATCAAACAGGTGATTTGATGAAGAATGCTGCCCAGCTGATCTCTTGGCCAGTAGGCCTATTAGTCACATTGAAGGGGTGGTGCTCCTAGCCTGCCAGCCATTCTCTGAGTCCTGGCATGCCTGCTCTGTGCCTGCCAACACACTGCTCAGCTGTTGAGCAGGGTGAAGCCACTTCCTGGTTCAGTGGGCCGGTCAGCTGCTTTGCGGGGCAGTGCTTCTGGTTTGAGATGGGGGTATTCGTATTCGTGTATACAGATACCTCACAGGTGAAAATAACAAGGGTCTGGCCCCATGGAACCAGACTGGCCACTCATTATTTCGCTGCTGATGGAGCCTTCCTATTGTTGTACGCAATGGATTAGCCACTCTGCGACCTGGCAGAGAGGCCTGTCATCCCACCTCCTGCCAGAATTGGCTAATCTATTGTGGACAATGGCGCGATAGGAAGGCTCGGTTGAGCTGGTGTGAGCAGTCCGGCCCCATGGGATTGGGCCCTCGTTATTTCCACCTGTGGGGGGAATATTCATATACAAATACCCCCATCTCTACTCCTGGCACATTGACCATCCATCCTCTGTGTCCTGTTACCTGCTCTGTGCTGAATGGATAGAACAGGGTAGGTGGCTGTAATACCTAACATATTGATGACATGATGCAGTGATGAACATAAGAAGGAATTTTGAAAACATTTAAAGGAAAAACAGTGGTGCCTGTGCCACCCAAAATCCGCATAGGCACAAATTAAAATGACAACAGTGTCCTCCGCCACAAAACCGCATTGGATTTAATCGATTTAGGGTCTGAGGTATTTTAAAAAATCCCTGCTGGCCCTTTAAAAAAAAAGCTTTGGTTTGCAGCCCAAATAAATCAGTTTCATACACACGTTATGCCTGGAAATTAATAACTTTATTTACATTGATTTAACCATGGTTCTTATTGCCAGTGGGACTGTGGCCTATGCTGAGAGGAATTTGAATTTGGCATAACATAGTTGTTCCCCTTTTTGGATATTCCATTCCAGCAGATCCAGTGGTGCTGGCAAATCCAAGAGTAGCCAGTATAAGGGGTGTGTGTGCCAGTTTAAGGGGCTCTGTGCTGACACAGGGGGCTTTGCTTCATTCCAAGTTTACTACAGTTGGTGTATCTCTGAGTTTGGATCATATTCTTAGTTATAGTCCTTCTTTGTTGTGGAAGTATAAATGAAGTTGATAAAACTACACAGGTGGCATTCCTCCCCAAACATGTCATGAAAGTGAGCATAGTCTTTTATTATTGGAGAGGGGGGGGATGGTTAGGGGCCAGGCACGTTTTGCAGAGTATGGTCAGGCGTAGTTGTGTCACTTGCTTTTTATTTCTTTTCTTTTCTTCTGTTTATGCCTAGCTTTCTGTTTTGGTGACAGAACATTTGATTTGGCAGTTTTGGTGTTGGTTCTTCTCTTCAAAGGATTGTTCTTTGGTTTAGGGATAGTTGAAATGTACCCATGGGTTTAAAATTGGCAAATGTAAAAAAAAAATTGTGAGTCGGCAGTTAGGTTGACAAATGAAACAAAGACTGGAGGCAACCCTTGAGTTAATGAAAAATAGCACAGTGATGGACACTGTATGTAAACTCTTGTAGTTTTATAAGGTGATAAGACAATGAACCAAAATTAAGTGGGCAATTCTTACATATTGCTTCTTGTGGTTGGCTGTAGCCAGTAACTGTTTTTCTTTAGATACATTCTCTGATGAACGTGTATTCCGGTAATAGAACAGTTCTTCCCTCTAACTTTAATGTATCTGCAGAATTGGATTTCTATGTGCCCTGTACTTATTCTTGTAAACAATCTTCTTGATGTTATGTTAAAAGCACAGTACTAATTTGTCTTGAAGACTGAATATTAGTATTGAAACATTGGTTCCTTTTGCCTTCCATTAGGAAAAAGATGGAAGACAGTGAGGTTTTCTGCCTAGTGGATTATTCTTGAGAAAGAATGGCCACTTGTCTGTGGTGAATATGAGTTTCTGCAGGGGAGCAGGCACCAAAGCATTATAAAGGTTGAATCTTCCTTTCATTACATTTATGTTTTACTGTTATAGCACTGTGCATAGCCAATATCAACAGTACAGTAATAAAAATGTAGTAATGAAAATGAAAGAATCTGTAAAAATAAAATTAGAAATAAGAGTTGAAATCAGTCATTGATAACATATCGAATTCTGACAACATTGAAATGTGATACAGTAAGCAATTTTAAAAAAATCAGTTTGACAAGCAAAGTGTGTTTGTGTGTGTGTTTAGAGAGAGAGAGAGAGAGGAAGGAGGGCTTTCTTAGGATGGGATTTTCAGAACTTGGATGCAGTTGCTGACCGAGACTTCTGAAAGCTTCTCAGTACCAGCAAGGAGAGAACAGCTCTTCAAGTAATACACTGTAATTTTAGATTTTATAGGTAGTAACCAGCACTTTGAGTTTTGCTTCCTGTAAGTGGCTCTAGTGTACAATCCAGGTCAAGTGCCGAAACACTGTTTAAGGGCAGCTGTGTGTTGAATATTACAGCAGTCTGAAGGAGGTATAAGAAAAGCATGTGGTGCTACAACCTGAAATGACTGATACAGTTGGGGATGGATGGATGTATAAGCTAGTAAAATATGTGGAACTGATCATATTTGTAAGGCTAAGAAGGATATGTACAATTTCAGAATTGTGTTTTTGTTGAACCCTGGACCATGATTGTAACTGGGTTGAGAAGTTTTGTTACAGGAAGAGGTGACTCACTTCCAAGCTTCATTCAATCAAATCCTAAGGATTTGTTTGAGCAGTGCAGCATTTTCTGTGCAAGCTTGCTATCATGATTTTGATTAATATTAATATTGAATGGTAATGCAAGAATAGGGTTAAATGTGGCTGTAATATCGCATGTTAGAAGAACCTTTGGAAAAGAGTGAAAGACTGCTTATAGTGGGGAAGCATTTATTTGGTCCAAGAAGGTGTTGAGATATGAAAAGCTAGTAATAATCTGAAATTATCTCAACATGGCTAGTTAGTTTTGTCAGGTGGGCAAAAAACAACAGATGGTGGAACAATGTGCATATGCTATTTGGATTTTTTGGACTTTTGAGTCCCATAATTCTCCACAGATTTCTCAGGCAAATTCTACAGAAATCTGTATTGCATTCATCTAAACCAGGGTCTGTGTTGGGCCTATTACCTGTTGTTGGCATACAGTAGCACCCCCATATCTGCAGGGGATCAGTTCCAAGCCCCCCCATACTGGAAAACACAGAACACTCTTTTAATAGTGACCTCTGTACATACCTCCTTCTAATGGCGAATTCTAGTAACTTCATTCTTAAATATATGTATATTTTGGGATTTTTCTTTTAATGTTTTTAATTTTCAGACCATGAATAAATGAATCAGTGGACACTGATCCCGTGGCTAAGGGAGTCCTATTGTACAAACATGGAAATACCTTTGTTGCTTTCTGGAAGTTGTGGTCTAATTGTCCTTCAGGCTCTGTAGAGGTACCTCCTTAAAAATGCAGTGCCCATAAAATACCATGTCAGTAGCTTGATCAGGGATGGAGCCTCCAAGACAGGCCCTGGTTATGGAAGTATAGGTGTCGGTCTGTGGGCTGCAATTCCAAGAATTCTAGGAGTTGGGAGCCCCAAAAAATCTGAATGGCACTCCCCTATAGGTTTTCTCTTTCCTCTGGAAGTGCATTTTTGTGTATTATTGGAAAAGGCAAAACCAAATCTTTATTAAGATTCAAATACTGTACAAGCTATAAAGGAGATGGTGGTATTTTGACATCTTGCACTTTGGAGCAGCAATGAGAATTCTACAGTGTGACCTGTGCTTCCAGTGCACACTTCTTCAAGCTCTCTTCCTTTTTC